ATATAAATTAAATAATATAATAGTTTTTAAATTATAGTCTTTATAAATAAAAATACTAAAAATAAATTATTAATAATTAAATAGTTTATAATTATTAATTTATTATTAGAAATATTATTCTTAATAATAAAAAACAGTATATTAAAAATATTAAATAATATATTATATATAATATTATTAGAAATGTTTAATAGAAGTAATATACTAGTTTATTTATATTTAATAAGCTAGTTAGAATTTAAATTATTAATTTTTTATTTTAAAATTAAAATATTAAGAAATTTTATTTATAATAGCTTCTAGGTTTAAAAAATATAATAAATAAAAACTAATAATATATATTTTTTTAAATAGCTTTTTTTATATTTAAAATACTACCACGTACGGAATTAAAATTATATAAAAAAATACTTATAAATATTTAAAAAATTAGTTTTTTATTAAGAATAATATTATATATATATATAATTTAATAAATCTTAATATTATATATTTTATAAACTAATTTAAAATAGTTTATAAAGTAGTTTTTTTATATATAATTTTCTAGTTTATTATAAGTTTTTTTTAAAATAAGATACTAGTAGTAGTTAAAAACCCTTTAATAAATAATATTAGATTATATATTATATAAAGTTTTATATAATATCTTACTAATAAAATTATATATAAACTAATTCTAAATATAGTTTATAATAAGAATAATATAATTTTAAAAATAATAAAATAATTAATTATTAGCTATAATAAAAATTCAAAATATAATAAAATATTTATTTTTAATTTTAGTAATTAGATTAAGATTAAAATAATAATATAAAGTTAGATTTTAGATAATATTCTATTTTTAATAATAAATTATAAATAGTTAGTATTCTGATATATTATTACTATAAATATATTTAATATTAATATTTAATTAATATTTAAAATAGTTTTATATTATAATAAACTTATTATAAATCTTACTACAGTTGTTAAAAAAAAAGATCTAATAATAATAAAAAATATAATTTATAAAAATAATAAAATAATAAATATTAGTTTAATTATATATAAATAATAAACTGTAAATATCGATATATATAAAGTTTTTAACTTAAAGTTTAAAATTACATAGTTTAATATATAATACTAAAAGTATCTAATTTCTTTTATATAAATATAGTTTATAGAATATTAGTAGAATATTTTTTTTAATATTTAAATTAATAATATATTTTAAAAAATTATAAATTTTATACTCGGAGGTATAAACTATATAGTAATAAACTAAATAAATTAAAATTAATAAAATAACTAATTTTTTAATTATATAAATAATAAGATTAGTAAAAAATAAATAAATTAAAATATTATAATAATATAAACTATAAATATTTTTATAGCTTATTATACTAATAATATTTATAAAATATTATTTTTTATTTATAATAATATAATTAATTTATTTATTATTTTTAATAAAATATATAATTCTTTTTATTATTATATATAATTAATCATTTAAGCAAGCGAGCTATTTACAGAAAATAAAATTATTTAATAAAATTAAAATAAATTAGTAATAATTAACAATAAATATATTAATTAGATTACTATTCTTATTTATAAATTTAATAAAAATAGTATTACAGTTAATAATATAAAAAACTTTATTAATAGCTGTTTTAATCTAATATATATAAAGTATAAAAATCTAAAAATAATATTTAAAATAGTTTATATTTTTTATAGTTTTAAAATTAAATATTTATTTATTTATATAATTTAGATAGATATTCTTCTAGATTATAACTACTATATTAAAATAAACTAATATAATAAAAATATTAAATAAATTATAATTAATATTAATAATATTAAAAATAAATAGTTTAAATAATAATATTATTTTTACCGATATAAATACTATATTAATATATATATTTATATTTTTTTTTATTTAGATTTAATAAATATTTATTTAAGAAATAATTTTTATTATATTAATAAAAAATATAAAATATTAAGTTTTTATTTAGAATATTAAATTTTTTATATTAAAACTAAATATTAGAATTTAATTATTTTTTATTATATTTATAGTTATTATTATATTTATAATTATAATTTTTATTTTAGCTTCAGCTACTATAATTACTATTATTATAATTAAAAATATTAATAATTAAAATTTTATTAATAATAATATATATAAATAGCTATAAGAATTAATTCTTTCGAATATATTTAAATTATATAAATTAGATATAAACTAATAAGAAAATAGCAGCTTTTTTAAATATTATATATTAATTTATAATAAATAAGTAAATATTATAATATTTTAAATTATTATAAAAAATTATAAAAGTTTAGTCTAATTATTTATAGTTTTAATATTATATAACTTATTAAAAATATTTATAAACTTTATTAAAAATATATTTTAATTAAAAATATTATTATAGTATATAAATATTTATTTATTATATAAATAGATAATAATTATAAAATTAAAAACTTTATAAATTTGTTAGAAAAGTCTATATATTTTAGCTATTATATTATAGTTTTAAAAATATTTTATAAAACTAGACTTATATATAGTACTAAAAATAATAAAAATCAAATAGTTTAATTAGTTTTAGTTTCGAATATTTATATTATATATATTTAGTAGAATATGATTTTTTTAGCCTTAGTAATACTATATTAAATATTTATATATATAAGCGGGTTTTTATTTTTTATTATTTAAATTATAAAAACTTGTATAACTTAGTTCTTATTTTCTAAATAAAAGATAGATTTTTTAAAACTGGTATAATTATTTTAAAATAATTTTTAAGTATTTGGATTTTTAGATTTAAAATAATTATATAAATTATATTATTATATCAGCTAGTTAAACTAATTTTTTAACTTTAATATAGCTTTAAAAATATTAATATTAAATAAATCTTTTAATAATATTATAGTATAACATATAGTTATACTACTTGTATAGTAAAAATATATAATTAATTAATTTAATAAATTAGTAAATATTAAATTTAATTATTAAGCTGGTTAGAATATTTTAAAAATTTTTTTATCTTTCTAAATATAAAAGTTACTAAATAAAAATATAAAAAGCTGTTAATATTATAGATATTAGTATATATAAAAAGATTTTAATAAAAAAAATAAAAAAAATAAATTTAATAAGAAATATAGTTATAAGAACTTATAAGTTATAAAAAAAATATATATATATTAATTAAAATATCTACAGCTATATAGCTGGTTTTCTAAAAGATAGTAAGATCTAAGATTATATAACCCCAGATATCTGTTATAATAATCTTCTATTTTTAGTATTAGGTATTTCTATAATTAATATTTTTAAAAATTTATTAAATAATTTTATTAAATTTATTAATAATAGTTTCTATATTTACTTTCTTAATATTTATATTATATAAACTAATAATAGTATATATCTTTTATCAAAATTATATATTAAAGATTATTTAAAACATTTTAGTATATTAATATATAAAATCTTTTTTATATTATTTAATTATTAAAATTTTTTATTTAAGTATATAGAAACTGTCTAACCAGATAATAT